CCGGGCCCGCCGGGACCCGCGAGCGCTGCCCCGCCGGGACCCGCGAGCTCAACTCGCTTCCACGCTCGGCCCGGCCAGGTGTCCGAGGACGAGCTGGTGTCCACGCTGAAGCAGCTGGTGGCGGAGAAGCTGAACGTCCCGGTGCGGCAGCAGCGTCTGCTGTTCAAGGGCAAGGCCCTGGCAGGTAACCGGGGAGGGAGACGCCCGGGGCAACCCGCGGGCCCGGGCGCCGGCCAAGTGTGAGTCTGGGGAAGGTGGTGGCTCCTTCCAGCAGGACTGGTCTCCCCTGGGCGCCCGCCGCTGGGGTGACCAAGTCCCTGGGTGTCTCTCCTGCAGATGGGAAGAGGCTCTCTGATTACAGCATCGGGCCCAATTCCAAGCTCAATCTGGTGGTCAAACCTCCGGAAAAAGCGTCGCTGGAAGACAGTGCTGCCCGGAGGCCTGGTGAAGTGCCGCCTGCACCCCAGCCCGCCTGGCCGCTGGTGGCCAAAGTGTTGGCCCGCCACTTCAGCGCAGGGGATGCCAGCAGAGTCCTGGACCAGCTCCAGAGGGTGAGAAGGACAGCCCACCCCCTTGCCAGCCGCTCCCTGCCAATGCCTGTCCCCGGCCCCCCACTGGCACCCCCTGAACCTCCTTGGCCTTCTCTCCTCAGGATTATGAGAGGTCTCTGAGCCGCCTGACACTGGATGACATCGAACGCTTGGCTAGCCGCTTCCTGCACCCCGAAGTGACAGAGACTATGGAGAAGGGCTTCCCCAAATAGGATTCTCCGGGCGTGGGGAGGCATCCCATCAGGCCGCCAGCTGCATGTAGCATTAAATGTCTTCTCCTCTGGCGATGTGGCTCCTGATGACGATAGCCTCTGGGCGGCAGGGCCCAAGGCCGCCATGGGTTCTTCATATGGGGTTGCTCCCTCAGGCCACACAAAAGGTGAGACAGCGAGGCTCCTGGGAGTGAGTGGGAGAGCCCGACATGAGTTCTGTCTGCTTCTAGAAGTGCCTCAGGGTGAGGAGGGGAACAAGACTCTGGAAGGCTCCAAGGGTTAGGCTTGGGCATTTCCACTTGAGCCTACAGAGAACAAACCCTCACAGCGCTCCTTCCCAAGCATGGAGAAGCAGCTGGTCCTGCTGCCCAGCCCTGTCACCTGACTGGGCAGGAGACCAAGAGACACTCAACCTGGGGCTCGTGGCAGCAGCCACCAGCAAGTCTTCAGCAGAGCAGGCTGGGACGTGAGGGTGCACACGAGCCCAGGCAAGTCGACTCCCTCACCCCATGGGCCACAGCTTCACCCTAGGTGTCCTTCACCACCCAGCCTCGAGTTTCATGCACAAACAGGCCTCAGGCAGCACCCCAGCCAGGTAGAGTGCAGAGAGGCCACCCACTGGCTCCTCTGCTGTCCTCTCCCAGACCAGGGTGCTTCTTGCCTCTTAGGGGCAGGCTGCAGGTGGCTGGCATCAGGCCACTCTGTGAGCAGCTCCAGAACTTGGCCTCGGCACCCCGCAGGCCCACAGCACGGCCGTGGACAGGGCTTCCACTCAGTGCACCCTACTGCCTGGGAGATGCGGGGGGTAGGCATACACAAGGACTGAGCAGCCCTGCCCCCCCGCCCCCCCACTCGCTGGGGGGGGCACCAGAGGCCATCTAGGTGCCTGTTCCTCTTCCGAGGGCACCCTGGGCAGCAGAGGCTGAAGGGAGCCGCTGTGGGACGCCAGGAAGAGACACGCCGCAGGCGAAGGCTTTGACGGCAGAGGAAGCCCGCGCGCAGAGCCCGCTGCGCGCCGCCTGGCAGCTCGCGAGACTTCCCAGTGCTTTGCTTTGAGTCAGGAAATGTGCGCTGAAATTTCAAATAGCTCTAAAGGCAAGTATGAGCCTTTGACTTACCCAGAAGAAACTCCACCAGGCGACTCTGGCCTCCAGCGACTGGCTCACGCGTAAAGGAAACTGTTCAACAGTAAAGGAAGCGGATCGGCTCCCAGCGCCGACAAGGCCACGCGCAGCGGCAGCAGACGCCTTCCCCAAACACCCGGTTCGTTCTGCCTCCCCTGCATCCCGCGCTGCCTGCTTCGTCCTGGCCTCGCCACCCAAAGACAGCCGCCTGCCCCCGCAGACACCCAGCAAATAAAAGCCGTCCTTTCCGTGCTCAGACCAGGCTGTGCCTGCACTCATTGGGCCTGACTGAGGTTGCGCCGGTAGGGGATGCAGGTTTGGGGAGAGCTGAATGGTGGCCACAGACAGCCACTCTGCTGCAGGGGAGTGACAGCCCAGAGCTTTTCAGACACACCCTGGAGGTGGTCACTGAGTTCTGTGCCAGCACCCCGCCCCGGCCAACAGCACCCTGGAGGTCGGGTGCTGTGTACCAGGTGACGCCCAGGGGTTGGTGCCCCAACAGGGCAAAGTCCAGGTCTCTGCGGCAGCCGCGCCAGCTGGAACCCCAAGGTGGGCCAGGCTATCGCGGAGGCTTTGAAGGGAGACAGCTGGCCCTTGAGCAACTATAGTGGCTGGGGACACTGGGGCCAGGAGTGCCCACAGGGAGAGCGGGTGTAGGCCTGAAGACATTTCCAGAAGCGCCATGCATGAGCAGGTCAGAGCCACTTCCGGGCTAGGTAACAGGTCTCCAGCCTGCCTCCTTGGGGTGAGAAGAAGCAGCAGGGTTTGGGGCCAATGACAGTGCCTTGGGCAGGGCACGGCCCAGTGGGCCAGGGGCTGTGAGGGGGCAGGACGGCACTGGGAGATGGAGCAGCCAGAGGTCGCACCCGGACTTTGCATCTTGAGACTGGGCCGGGGGCACCTGCAGGCCCCAGGGTTGGCTGTTCACAGCAGGCAGGGGCACCCAGATGTGGGGCTCACTGGCCCCGGCCTCCTGCCCACTGCAGCTCCCAGGCCGGGCTCTATCCAGCAACCCCAGGAGAGGTAGCTGACCGAGGACACGAGCCTGAGCAGCCGAGACAGAAATGGCCACCCCACCCCCACACATGGGGCCTGTCCGCCCAGGGCCCAGGGGTGGCAGAGGGCACAGCAGCTTTTGCTGTGGGCTGGGCCTCACTGAGCTGGAGGTGCCCCTGCAGCAGATGCCGCGGGCCTACACCTCCCTGGGGAAGTGACAACAGCCAGTGTGGCCTGCACCGCCTCGCCGCTGCCCTCTGCCTGCTCTCTGGCTTTCCCAACTTCACTTCCCTGCTTGCTCCTCCCACAGCCTTTTGGTTCCTAAATCCCTCCCAGCTCTCCACCCTGCATCGGGCTCGGACCCTGGCCCTCTCTCCCCTCACTGCACTCTGCTGACCTAGCGCCTGAATGCTGCCTCTCCCTGGGGCGGACAGGCAGGCAGGGCTTGGCGTCTGTAGCTCTGGGCCAGGCTTTTAATGACAGGAAGCCACCTCTGCCTCTCCCAGCTCAGCATTCACTGCAGGTTCAGGCTGCACCCCGGCTCGGTTGGTGATGCAGCAGCTGCCAGGTGTCCCCGTGGGAAAAGTTCACTGTGCCTCCCTGTGCAGGACTCCTCCAGGCAGCCCCATGCGACCCCTATGCCCACGCAAGCTGCCCCTTATGGCTGCAGAATGGCTCGTTCGTGGCTCTGTTTCTATTTAGCGCTCCCCTCTCCCCTTCTCTCTTGATTATCACAATAGACTCATTCAGCAACTTACAACCCCTGAGTTGGGATCCCCCCGTGGCACAGGATATAAGGCTCGGGCTGTCAGGCTATCACCAGCCACTGCAACCTGAGTTTGATCCTGGCTAGGGAGGGACCCACAGGGCGCAGCAGACCTCTCCTGTCTCCCCACTGCCCCCTCAGCAGTAGATTTCAGTGTATCTGCCTGTTCCGCTCCCCTCTCTCTGGTGAACCCCCTCACCCATCCGATCCTCTGACCTACACCCCAGTTCTATGTAAAAAAACAAATGACAGAACTTTATGAAAATCCATGTGTGGACACTTTTATTTGGAGCGCAGTGTGCAGAGAGTAAGGAGTTTAAAGTGAACACCTCGTGAACTGACCCCCAGAGCAAGTAGGGAACCCTGCCGACATGCCAGCGCCTGCCCTGCGGCCCCTCCTTGGCTCTCCAGCCTTCCAGAGCTCAAATTCTGCTAGGTGGGCTCCCGGCCCCGACCTTACTTTCTAGCAGCACAGGTGCACCCACCTCGTCTTGGCTTTTCTCTTGGCCAAACCCTAGAATCAGCCTTTTCTTCAGGGAGCCCCATTTCCTTTGAGTGGGGAACTGGATCGTGCAACAAGGTCAGCTGCGGGGCGTCACTGCTCCTAGACTCAGCAGACAGCAGGATGCATGCCAAGAGTCCATACTGAGATGCCCTGATGCAGCCAGTGCATCCCTCCCAGGGAGAATTCTGAATCCTGACAGCAGCGATGTACTCACTCATTTGCCCTCTTCCGAAAGCTTCACACACACCCACACCTCTCACCCCCCACTGCCTCGCTGTCAACAAGCGTGCTGAGTCAGGTCCTCTCGTCCTCAGGATGTGCCCACGGAGATCAGGCAGGCAGCTGCGCTGAAGAGGCGCCTGGGTTGTTTCTATGCCATCTCCACCCCTTCTCCACCCCACCCTGGGGGCCTCAGTCCTGTTGTCCACTGGTGTCTTATTTCGTTTGGCAAGTTCATTAGTTTTGTTTCCTTCTAGCGCATATACAGGCAAACTCAGGCAGCATTTGTCCTCCTGAATATTCCACTTTGCATGACCCCAGTTCCTTCCATTTTGCGGCCAATGCCGAAATGTCTCCATTTTATAGGCGCACGGGACTTCACTGTGCGTCTGCACATCTCATCTAGTCCCGTCAGCGGGTGCTCAGGTTGTGGCCTTATCGTAGCTACTGCAAATCCCGCTGAAATAAACACTGCTGCATACAACACTTGCAGGTGATTTCATTTTCTTCAAACAGATGCCCAGAAGTGGGGTTCCCGGATCATGAGGTATTTCTATGTTTAGTTTTCTGAGGAAGGTCCATACAGCTGTCCAAAATGGTGATAACAATTTTATACCCATCAACAGTGTACAAGGCTTCCTTTTCTCCACACCCTCAGCAACACACCTTTCTAACTAGTCCTTTTGATGTGAACTCTTCTCCTCAGGTGTTTAGTGTTATCTCCTTATTTTGATATGTAATAATACGTGATGATGAGATTTTTTTATGTCTACTGGTCACCTGTATGTCTTGGAGAAGTAAGTCATTTAGCTCTTTTGCCTATTTTTTTTTTTAAGATTTGTTTATGCACACAAGAACTGGGGTGAAGGTCAGAGGCATGGGGGCAGTGAGAGCATTCTCCAGAGACAGAGTGGGGAGCAGAACAGGCAGATGTACTGAAGTCCACTGCTGATGGGAGCAGCAGGGAGACAGGGGAGGTCTGCTGCATCATGTGGGTCACTCCCTGGCCAGAGTTCGAACCAGTGCTGCAGTGGCTACAGGTAGCTTCATAGTGCTGCGCTTTAACCCCTCAAGCCACTAGGGTGATTTCATCACCACCCATTTTCTTTAGTTGAATTGTTTTATTGTCAAGTCACAAAAGTTCTTCATGTTCTTTAGATATTAAGCCTTATCAGATGAACAAATGTCTTCTCCCATCAATAGGCTGCTTTGTTTTGCTAGTATTGTCATTCACCATGAAGAGACTTTTTCATTTGATGTGGTCCCAATTGTCTATTCTGGCTTTCATTTCCCTTGTCATTGGCGTCAACTCCCCACAGACATCTCTATTGTTGATATCAGGAAACATAGCTCCTATATTTTCTTCTGTGTATTTTATGGTTTCTGGTATTTCATCACGACTTTAATTCATTTTGAATTAATTTCTGTGTATGGAGTTAAAGAGTAATTTAGTTTCATTCTCTTGCATATGGCTGTGCATTTTTCAAAACCATGTGAAGAGAACTACTTTCTTTTTTTTTTTTTAAAGATTTATTTATTTGTGCACACAGAACTGGGGTACAGGCCAGAGGCTCAGGGATGGCGAGAGGTTTCCCCAGAGACAGAGTGGGGAGCAGAACAGGCAGATGAATGAAGTCCACTGCTGAGGGGAGCAGCGGGCGGGTCAGGAGAGGTCTGCCGCGCCATGGGGGTCACCTCCGGGGCAGGCGGGGATCGAACTCATGTGGAAGTGGCTTTAGATTCTCAGTGCTGTGCTGTAACCCGCTGCGCCACCAGGGAGGGCCCGAGAAGTACTTTCTTTATCATATGGTTATGGCTTCTCTGTCATAGAGTTATTATTGATATATGTGTGCGTTTATTTCTGGACTCTCCATTCTATACCACTGATCCATATTTCTATTTTTATACAGTACCATGCTGTTTCAGTTACTGTCTCTTCGTAATATATTTCAAAATTGGATGCTGTGATGCCCCATTTTTTTTTTCTCTCAAGGAGAAAAAGTTATATAGGGTCTTTTGTGGTTCCATGTATTTTAAATTTTTGCTCTACTTCTCTCAAAAAAATCGGAATTTTGGGCCCTCCCTGGTGGCTCAGCGGGTTAAAACACAGCAGCACAGCACTGAGAATCTAAAGCTGCTTCTGCATGAGTTCGATTCCCGCCGGCCCTGGAGGTGACCGCATGGTGTGGCAGACCTCTCCTGGCCCGCCCGCTGCTCCCCTCAGCAGTGTACTTTGACCATCTGCCTGTTCTGTTGCCCACTCTGTCTCTGGTGAAGCCTCTCACCGCCCCTAAGCCTCTGGCCTGTACCCTAGTTCTGTATGCACAAATAAATAAAATCTTTAAAAAAAAAAAATCGGAATTTTGATACAGAGATTGCATTGAATCAATCTATTGCTTTTGATAAGATGGTTACTTTAACTGCATTGATTCTCCCCATTCATGTATTGGAATATTTTTCCATCTTTTTGTCCATTTGAAAAAAAAAGGATTTCTTTATGCATACAGAACTGGGGTACAAGCCAGAGGTGAAGGGGATGGTGAGAGGATTCACCAGAGACAGAGTGGGGAGCAGAACAGGCAAATTGATGAAGTACACTGCTGAGGGGAGCGTAGGCAAGCAGTGGCCTGTAGCAACTACGCTAGCTTTGTAGTACTGTTGCTTCCTGTTGTGCCACCAGGGAGGGCCCTGGTCTATCTTTTTTTATAATGACTTTTAAAACAAAGATTTATTTTAATATATGCATACAAGAACTGCGGTGTAGGCCAGA